CAGCGGCCCTTCCGCGGGTGGAGTCCCTGCTGCTAGGTGGCCAGGAGCAGGTGCGGTTGGGCAGATGTCTGGGAGGACCCGAATGTGTCCCCGGAGCCTGGGAGTGTGACCTGCGGGCCAGGGCCAGTCCCCCCCTTCCCCCCCCCGGGGCAGTGAGGGTGAAGCTGCCGTACACACGGGCCCCACAGGGTGGGGGCCCCAGGGGGTGACCGGTCCTGGGCCACCAGGAAGGGCCTCAAGCAGGGGTCCACGAGGATGGGCACCTCAGCGGAGGTCAGGGTGGCCCCCCCATCACTCCCCCCTCCTGCCCCCTCGAAAGCACATCTGCTGTGACCAGTGCGTGGGCCCTTCCTACCCAAACAGTGCTGGTCCTGGGCTCGGAAAGCTTCAAGGGTGAGGGAGCATGGCGCCCACCCTCGAGCCTGGGGTCCCCCAGGGCTCCCGCAGCTCCCCTCTGTGTTACTTTGCTGTGTTTCGATCTGCTCACTCTCACCTGGTGCATATGTGTGTCCGTCTGTCTGTGTCTTAGAGACAGACAGACCTCGGACAGATCACTTCATCTGAAGGTCGTTTACAGCTCCAAGCACTTGGACCTCGCCCCTTTCACAGGACAGAGATGAGAGGGGGTTAATTGGTTGTGGGTAAGCCAGATCCACTTCCCTCCGTGCACACGCATGCACATGCACATGCACACACGTGTACACATGCGCCTCTGCCCTCTTGTGGCCGCTAGGTGGCACTGTTCCCACAGGATCTGCCCAGTAGTAGGGTGTCCTGTGTTTGAAGGCTCTGCAGGCTGCTCAGTACCACCTCCTCCTCCGAGGGGGTCTGTATCCTCGTTGGCGTGGCTGTGGCCGTGGCCGCAGCCCCTGGTGGCCACACCAGGAGGGCAGTCCTGCCTGCGTCAGCACCGACATGGGGAGCAGAGGGTGCTCCTGGGGTCCCCTGTATAGCCCTATTTCCCCCCAAGTTTTGGCTCTGAGAGGCCCGTGAAGCAGCAGTATCGTCCCTTTAGGAGCTGTGGAAACAAATGCTCAGTAATGATGTGGGGTCGATGCCACCCTCTCTTTTTTAAAAAATATTAAAACTGATTTTAGAGCGAGGAAGCGAGGGGGAGAGAAACATCGACCGGCTGCCGTGAGCACTCACTTCACAGCCCGGCATGTGCCCTGACCAGGAATAGGACCGGTGACCTTCCCGTGCAGGGGACGGTGCCCAGCCACCTGCCGCCGGCCAGGGCCCGCCCTCTCCTTCACACTCAGAACGACGCGCTGTCTCCCACAGAACGTGCCAGAACGTGCGCTGGGAAAGGCATTTCCAGGCCGGAACACATCTGGAATAACTCGGGCTGGGGTCCCTCCGCCTCGGCCAGCTCCCTCAGCAGGTCTGAGAACCGCATGCTGGGGCGGGGGGGAGGGGGTCGTTGGGTCAGCCTCCAGGCTTGCCCTTCCCCCACAGCCCCCTTCCCTCTCCGCCTCCTCCCAGCCGCAGCACCCCTCACCGGTGGGGTTTTACAAATAAAACAAAATAAACCCGGCTCCCGTCTGGGCTCTGTCCAGGCCCCGTAACCAGCTATGGGCGAGGGAGACACCAGCCAGGCCATGCACTTAAGGGCACTCAGGGGCAGTCAGCGCTGAACTGGTTGGCAAGACGTCAAATCTGGAGGATGCATCTGACCAGCTGTGCTCGGAGTTTACTAATTTCGTGAAAAATATCTGTAATCTGCCCAAGAGAGGCAAGATCTCGAAGAAAACCTTGCCGCCTGCTGCACAGTCACTTTGCTCCCACCTGAAGTTATAGGAAGGGGTTGATGCTGTCTTTTGGAGCCAGTCCCACAGTTGGTTCCACACTGTTCCAGCCAAGTGATGAATTTCAGTTCCTAGTGGAGTGAGTACTCGAGTAAGTCACTAGGGGGCGACAGTGCCAACCCTTAATTCTACTGGCAAATTTATTCACTAAGTACCGTATTTGCCGGCGTATAAGACGACCCCCTAACATTTCCACTCAAAATACAGAGTTTGTTATATACTCGCCGTATAAGACTACCCCCTCTTCCGCACACCTTCCACACACCAAATAAAAGGTAAAACAATATCAGATTTGATTTTAACATTTTAATTTATATTCAAATGCTTATGACATGCAGGAAAACTGTCACAAGGCTGTATGTAATCAAACATATACATAAAACAGTGCAAGTTTATTACCGGTAAACATACCGGTAATTCACTAAAGAAAACACACTCTATAGACTGGTACTGTAGATGCTTCTCAGGAACACAGGCAAGCAGCCCACAACCTAGAGGGACTGTCAATGATAGAAGA